AAACATTAAGCATTAATGTGTTCAGAAGAAATGCTTTAATGTACTCTTTTTCTGTAAGAGCTCATTAAGTTGTTTGTGGTGGTTATTGTTGTTTTACCCCATTTGCTGGTAGAAATGGTGGAAAGGAGTTACAGGAAGAAGAGAAAATCATGTTTTTGTAGGATGGGGATGAATTCACTCCAGCAGTATTGCATAGAAGTTTAATTTGCCAAATATTAAAATTAAAGAGAAAAATAACTGTTAATGAGGGAATAATTAAAAAAATTAAGGTGTATAAAGAAGTGAGATACTATGCAGTTATTTAAAAAAAAATACAGATATTTATAAATAAGAAATGAGACAAAAATCTGTGTGAGCAGGGACGCCTGGGAGGCCCAGTTAGTTAAGCGTCTGCCTTTGGCTTAAGATCTTGGGATTGAGTCCTGCATCAGGCTCCCTGCTCAGCTTCTCCCTCTGTCTGCCTGTCACTCCCCCTGGTTGTGTGCTCTCTCTCTCTCTCTGTCTCTCTCTTTCAGACAAATAAATAAATAAAATCTTAAAAAAAATCAGAGCAAAGCAAAGTACTAGATGTGTGTGGAATAAGTTGCATGTGAAGACTGGGAAGATACTTGATTGTCTTTGCATGAAAGAGAACTCTGCATGAATACATTAGTGACTAACAAAAAAATGGGTGATTTTCAGTGAAAAGGGTCTCCGTGGTGGGAAACTGGATAGAGGAGGGAGGAAGGTGGAAGGAAAACTTACTACTGAATACTTTGCTGCATTAGTTTTCTCATCCCCGGAGCTGATTCTTATAAAGGGCTTATAACAATATCTATCATATAATAAGCTGCTGGTATCATTGCTAGTAGTCGAAGTATTAAAAACCAGTAATTCTCATATTGCATCTCCAGTGTCTCATTTTCTCATGTGTAAAATATTAGAAACACCTGGTGCTTTCTTTGGTCTCTATACTCTCATGTTTTAACTGAAGTGGCTGATAAAGACGTGTGGAGTCTGAGTCTCCTTGTTTCTCTCGTCCTAGGGATTAAGAGCCTGGTCTCAGAAGCGGACAGAACTGTGTCTGACTCCCCCAGCGCCGCATTTGCCAGAGCACATTTTTCTTTATTAGGTGCTATAAGGGAGGCAGAGGTGTTTGTGCTACGTTCAATAGGTTGCCTTGATGGGAAGGCACTATCTTGACATCTGGATTGAAGATGCATGCTGTATTCTGAAAGACTAAGAGAGACCATTCATTCATTCATTTAGTCATTCCATTTTATATTAATTTCTCTGGTCTAAATCTAAATTCAGGCAGATCTCCTTTTATGTCAGCTGTTAGTAGAATAGTTTGGAGAGGGCTGGTAGGATTCTGTACTTGCTCTGGGACTATGCAGCTTGTATCTTTCTACAAGTTGGCCAGGGCCAGCAGCTCACTGTCTCTGGGAGCTGCACTTCAGGGAGTCCTCCATAGCGGGGATGACTCCTGTGATGGAGAGTGTCCTGTAGCAGGGCATGCCCACTTAGAAGGTACCTGACTGCACAGGGCTGGGGGCTGTCTCAAGGAAATAAGGGGCAACACTCGCTCTCTTGACTTGATGGGAAAATGGAAAACGTAGTTTGCCCTAATTGCCATAGTAGATATGATTATCTTTATTTTAGCGGAGGTTGGGATAGCACCTGAGCTGGGCAGTCCAGCAGCTACTTAGTGAGGGACAGGCCAGAAGTGGAGCCAGGACCGGGCCCTGTCTCCTGCCCGACCCTATGTACTCTTCTCAGAATAGCATTTGGCTACTGGGTCCACAGAGCCCGATGGAATGCTTGAGTTCCTTCATTTTAAATAGTTTAAAGTTAGGGGAAGTATTGCCTCAGAAAAGCTCTTATTTTAAATACTTTGTTTTAAATTAATTGTTGAATTTTGAAAAGTTAGAAAAATCAGGTATTTTTTTTGTTTTTGCAACACCCATACATTCTCATTCCCCTCCAGGCCCCCAAACGGTAGAAACTAAGAAGTTTTGGAATCAGAACTTTTTTGCTTAACAGGATGTTCTGCTTACTTGGGTGTTAGCATGGTAGTGGTGGGAACCGTGCGTTGACTGTAACAGGTCGTTAGCAAGTTCTGTACACTTGGAAGTCTGCGGGCATTTTTGCAGTATTTTTGCTCAAGCATTATTGCTTTTAGTAACTGTGGCCTGTGCTTTTTACCCTCAAGAGAAAATGTAAAGATAATTTAAAAATGTGTATCCTGTTTTTAAAATGACATAAACCTGTAAAAGTGCTAGTGTCCTTGGTGCGGTTAAGAAGGTAAGACTGACATATTTGCCCCAGATTGATAGCTGCTTTTAAAACCGAAATTATTAAGAGATTCAAGAGAATAGAGGGCCCCTGAGACGCCTCAAGGCGTTGTGGAGTGAGGGCTGGAATTTTGGCTTCCCACCAGACTTGGATTGTACCTTTGGCCCTTCCTAATGGAATTTACACAAAGCATCCCATTCCTAATTGTGTCCTTGGCCTGTCATCACCCAGCCGGGTCATTACTAATCAAGAGTATGAGAGAGTATGATGTGTGTGAGGAGCTGTGTGCCGTGCCAGAGAGAGTGGGCAGGTGGTCCAGGTCAGGCGTGAGGCCTCAGGACGACGCTCATCATCAAGGCCTGCAGAAAACTGCTTTTATTGTTATTTTATTTTATTTTTTAAAGATTTTGTTTATTTGTCAGATTGAGAAAGAGAGCACAGGCAGGGAAGGGGAAGATGCAGAGGGAGAAGCAGGCTCCTCTCTAAGCAGGGAGCCCCATGCAGGACTCCATCCCAGGACCTTGGGATCATGACCTGAGCAAAAGGCAGACGCTTAATGACTGAGCCACCCAGGCACCCCAGGAAAACCACTTTTAAAGAGGGCATTCAGTGATGCCTGCCAGTAAGGTTTGTGAAGCAAGGACTTTTTCCTTCTTTTATTAGTGTGTGCCTTTCATGCGTCAAAATTGGTGTGAAAGCAATGAATGTTGAACAGATAAAATGACAGTTTCATCAGTGATTGTTAAAATATGAATGTGAAAATAGCTTAAGGTTACTACCTCCCCAATGAAACTGGCCAGGGTTTACACCAAAGCTGAAAGCAAAGCAGTACAGTGTTTACTTGTCATCCTCGTGTACAGGTTGCTTTTGGAAATAGACGCCAGGTAATTCCTTCTCACCTCCCTCTCCTTCCCGTTCTTCTGTCTTCTGTGTGAATGCCTGGCCCACCCAAAGTAGAGCTACATTGCTGCAACTTCAGCCTTCCTTTTTTCTTAAGAATGTCAGCATTAAATTCATAATTGTTAGCAGGGATTTTGATTTTTTAAAAAAATATGTTCTGAAGAGTTTTGTTTGCTTCTGCCTTAATTGTGAAAAGTATTCAGTTTTCTAAAATTGGAGGAGATACAGAATTTGTGCATTTCATCAAGTTAAAATACATTTTCCAGCAAATAGTCTTCGCATATGTATATATATTGTTTGTGCAAATCAGATTCACGTTTTCTGATGTTATGAAACCAGCTTTGGTTCTGGCTTTTATGTTGGAAGGAGAATGGAAGATTAAGGCAGATTAGAGTGTTGGGATAAGGTTTGACTCCTTGTGTTCTGTGTGCTTACATGGTAAAAGTCCTCCAAATTTGAACATTACTGTGGTGATACGAGCAAAACCTTGTGTTTTGGATTGGTGCAGAGCTTAGTACAACACCTGGTGGAGTAATAGATGAATCTGTTACCTTCCAAATCAGTAATGTGTGCCTGTGCTGATGTCCCCTGGGCATGTGAGGTTTCTGGTGAGGCAGAGCCGCCACTGCATACGAAGCTTCCACCCAGATCATTAGTGTCCTGGGAAAACATCTGTCTCCTTTCATCGTGCTCGTGGTAGGCATGGATTACACCCGAGAGGCAACAGAATCTGCAGATAAGCATGCTACTGTGGTGTTCCATAGGAATGAAACAAACATTACTGCTCCCATTTATTGAATCGGTCTTGTGTTGTGGGCACCACGTGAGGTGTCCTTGATGCATTTAAATGGCCATTATTTCCATATTGTTGCTTCCAGGTACTCTGCGAATTTGTGGTCTTTTTTTTAAAGATTTTATTTATTTTTGGGAGAGAGAGAGATCGAGAGAGAGCCAGTGAGCATGAGCAAGGAGCAGAGGGGGACAGAGGCAAAGGGAGAAGCAGAAGCCCCTCTGAGCAGGGAGTCTGATGCAGGACTCCATCTCAGGACTCTTGGATCATGACCTGAGCCGAAGGCAGGCACTTAACAACTGAGCCACCCAGGCATCCCTAGAATTTGTGATCTTAGGTACAGCATGTGGGCCCTCTGGACTGAGATGCCTACTACTTTCAAACATGATTGGTCTCTCACTGATGTTTGAAGACGAGCTCTGATCTTTGTGAGATTAAAGGCATTACTGTTTTTTATGGTACCTGCACATATTTGACATTCTGAAGTCTGGAAGCACACAGTTGGCTTCTATCTTGGTTCCAAGCAGTGGTTTGTCTTTAAGGACTACTGAGTTATTTTCACATATCAACTGTACAAGTATTTAAATAAGGGTGCCTTACGTTGATGATGCTTCTCTTTTTATTTTAATATTAAAACTGAGGGAGTAGATAGTATGTTGTTTTTAATGAGGGTAGGGGTAGTGGTTATACATATTTTTCTCCTGGGAGGAAGTGACGAGGTTTTATTAAGAATTGCTGTTTGTGGGTGCCTGGGTGGCTCAGTGGTTAAGCCGCTGCCTTCGGCTCAGGTCATGATCTCAGGGTCCTGGGATCGAGTCCTGCATCGTGCTCTCTGCTCAGTGGGGAGCCTGCTTCCCTCTCTCTCTCTCTCTGCCTGCCTCTCTGCCTACTTGTGATCTCTCTCTGTCAAATAAATAAATAAAATCTTTAAAAAAAAAAAAAGAATTGCTATTTGTGGAGTGTATTATGAAGGGGGGAATGGGAAGAAGAATCTCAGGAATTTTCCTTATATTTTTTTCCTCTTGTTCATTTCTAGTCTTTATAACCTGGCTTCCCTGGAACTGAGAGAGAATCTTCTTACATATCTTCCTGAGTGAGTCTCTGGGCAAAACAAGAGGGGATTTTGTACTACATGAATTTCTTCAAGTATTTAAAAAAAAAATAAGTACTACAGTACTTTGTCAAAAAGAGATTCTGTGTCTTTAGGAAAGTTTGGGAGATGCCAGCCTTCCCTTAATAGTTTTTCCTTGGTAATACTTAGAGCCATGCAGTCCGAATGTTTTTGGAAATGAGTCCGAGTGAGGAATACCATGTTGCTCAGCATTTCTAAGTACTCTCTAAGAGTTCCTTCTTCTTCTTTTTTTTAAATAGCTCTCTTACCCAGCTGCGGAGACTAGAAGAACTTGATTTAGGAAACAATGAAATATATAATTTGGTAAGTCTGTACCGAAGAGATTTAGATTTAATTTTGTCCCCGTGTGTCATCAAAACGTATTTTAGGGGAAATCTGTAGGGGTGTATTTTCACAGATAGAGCTTGGCAACATGAGAAAATGTGCTTCAGTTCATACATGTTAAGAATTGTGATGTAGGGGTGGGGAGGGTCAGGACTAGGGATGACGGGCATAAATGGAAATCACCAACATTCTTGGAGAGCACTGGGAGTGCTTTTATGATGGGGGACTTGTATTGGAAAAGCCCCAACAGATATCCTGTATAGTACCCATTTATTAACTTGCTGAATTGGGATTCTTTCTTAGTGGAAGACTCAACATTGGAACTTTGTTACCATAACATTATTTTTGTTTGTTTGTTTTAGCCAGAATCAATTGGAGCTCTCTTACATCTAAAGGATCTCTGGTTGGATGGAAATCAGCTGTCAGAATTACCTCAGGTAAGTGGTGATTTTACTTTGTTTCCCCCAATTTATAAAATAACCACAGGCACCACTCATATATTCCCTGCTTCTATGTGAAATTTTCTATAACGGGGATCTTGAAACCAAAAACATTGGTTGAAAAAGCACATTTAGTAACATATATTAAGCATTCATCATGCTACATTGCCACAGAAAAATTGAAAGCCTCAACCCACCATTTCTAAAGATAGAAAATACATCCTTTAGTTGGTGAAGTCTGTATTTTATTTCATCCTTGCTCCCCACGTGGCTTACTTCAAGCCTAGCAACTTTGTAAATTGCGAGGACTTCTGATTCTTAGATGGTGTCCATTTCTGACAGTCTTTGTGACATGCCAAGTGCTTTGGGATGATTGTGACCACATTCTTTTCTGTAATAGTTGATGTAAAAGAAATGTTAAAAGCTTTTATTTCAAAATTTTTGCAAATACTTCTTATGTTTTAGCTGTTTTGTCATAGTGTTAAGGTTTTTCCGACTATTATCAAATGTGAGAACCGTGTTCCAAATGAATTAGAGTCTGCACAGACTTCTAGGTACATAGTCATCTCGTGGAGTCCTTTTGTAAGCAGGCTTGCCTTCTGGTAAAATGACAGAGAAACATAAGCCAACAAACCCAACAACTAAAAAACAAGCGTTTTCCTCTTACCCAGTTTTTGTCTAACTATTCCTGAATTTCATTCTTTGATATACCTTATAGCCAGTCTTTAAAGTCCAGGTGTATTTCCTGATGGCCTAGGTGCCCCTAGTTTAAAGCAGATCAGATGCTCAGGTGTCTGCTCAGTGGGCTGAAGCAGGTGTGATGGTGCTGTGTGCTGTAGGTGAGGAAGGCCTTGTTGATGCAGGAGGTTGAACTCCAGGAGGAAGCACTCGTAGCATGTTCTGGATGTAGTTACAGCACTGCAAGTATGAGGACCTCACTCACAGCCAAGGGAAGGAAGGAGATAATTGCAGTCTCTTTCTGAGGTCTTGGCTGCATTTGGGGAAAGGAGACAGATTAGCAACTGATGTGGTGAAGGTCTAATTAATACCTAGATTTCTCTAGGAAATTACAAGAAATCCTGGTTGGGAGAATTCCCATTATTTTCAGAGTCACAGGATGGGGAATAAAAATACCACGGGGTTATCAGAAAAGTAATACATCAGCTCTGGGGCATGATGGGAAAAGAGAGAGAGAGATAGTGTGTGTGTGTGTGTGTGTGTGTGTGTGTGTGTGTACAGATGGTTTCTTAACAGAAAATCTCAGGGTCACCCTGAAGTATGAGTTGCTTATTGAAGTGATTGATTCCAAAACTTGAGGAACTGGATTCGAGACTCCCTTTTTTTAAAATTATGTAACCATAGAGTCATTTGTTCTCTCTTGGTGCCTGTCTTTTCATCTGTTACGTGAGAATGATTCCTTGCCTGCCTGAAGTTGGAGGGCTTGGCATCCCTCCCAGAGCCGTGTCTGTGATTTTTACAGCTTCCCGTTTTCATTGGAAAGGGGTCTGGAAATTTACTCCAGCCTTCTCATATAGATAAACGATAAAGAAACATCCTCGGGACAACTTTGGGATTTGACTGTGAAAAATCACTGTAAGAAATTCCTCTGTACTGTGGCAGGTTGAAGCATGAGTCTCTTTTTTGTGTCACTGATGTAGGAAATAGGAAATCTGAAGAACCTACTGTGCTTAGATGTCTCTGAAAATAGGTTGGAAAGACTTCCTGAAGAAATCAGTGGCCTGACTTCATTAACGGATTTAGTCATTTCCCAGAACTTACTAGAAATGATTCCAGATGGCATCGGTAAGTACGGAAAGTAATTCCCTACTGAAGGTGCTGGCTGTTGTCTCGGGCCTTTGGGGATCACTCTGATCCTTTGGTCACCACTCTCAGAGGCTGGCGATGTGGCTCCTTTAGTCTCCCTGTCATTTATTTGCTCTTAAAGAAGGAATGCAGAGAACATTTAATGTACTTGAAGTTTCTTGATAGGCAAGTATTTCTGTCATCCTGGTTCAGTAGCAGTTGTAGGTATGATTACTTCTAAGTGTTGACTCCTCTGTCTCTTCTGCATCTTGTCTCCATTGTTTTCAGTAGAGATTAATCTGAATAATAGATAAGTTTCAGTCATGGGAGCAGTCTCTAAGAAATTTTTATGTGAGCATCCTAAGTAGTTAATGAGAAAGTGACTCTGACCTCACCACATGACCTAGGGAGGAATGGTGTGTTTGAGTTGATCCTTTTCTCATACGTCGAGAATAGTCCTTTCCTTTAACCATTGTCTGTCATTTCCTTTAAAATCAGTTAGTTCAGACATTTCCTTTATCCTAAAGGCATTCAGTCCTGTGTGAGAAAATAAACTCAGGGAAGGTATAAACAGACATGGACCAAGAGCTCCACCATTGCAAAGCCACTTAGAGGTTGTAAGAAACTATGTTTAACCACAGTTAACAAAGTGTTGCTGTATTTGACCTTTGTTTAGCTTTTATTCAAAATATCAAAGCAGGTTTCTGAAGGATTTTCAGTAGTTGAAGAAGCTCTAGGACAGAGAACCACTTCCTTTCTGGTGTTTGGTCAAGATGAAAGCAGTATCTGATCATAACAACTGGGGAGGAACACAGACGTTGTCTTTTGGTTCAGCCCGGGTGGAAAATTGATGGGGATTTTGAGTCCAGGTAGAGATGGTCGGTGAGAATGATATTTAGTATCCAAAAATAGTTGTAGCAACTGGGGACGTTTTGTTGCTAGGCATAGGAAGTAGGAAGTGTGAAATGGCTGACCTCAAGCATTTGAGAGGCTGTCCTGTAGAAGAGAAGTCGATTTGTTACTGCATCTTCTAGTTCAGACAGCTATAAGGGAAGGACATAAATGAAATATTGGTTACAAATTAGTCTGGGCTGCTTAGTGAAGAGATGAGCTCCCCGTAACTTGAAGTGTTCAGGGAGAGGTGGCAACACCACTTGCCAGTAATACTGTTTTTTTTTTTTTTTTAAGATTTTATTTATTCATTTGACAGAGATCACAAGTAGGCAGAGCAGCAGACAGAGAGAGAGGGGGAAGCAGGCTCCCCACTGAGCAGAGAGCCCCATGTAGGGCTCAATCCCAGGACCCTGACATCATGACCTGAGCCGAAGGCAGAGGCTTAACCCACTGAGCCACCCAGGTGCCCTGCCAGTAATACTGTTAAGGAGACTCCTCAGTTGCAGGGAGATCTGTCGATTCAATTCAGTGTGCCCTGCCCTGTGGAGAAAGCCTCTCCTGCCGGTGAGGACAGGTGGAAACTCTCTGGAGACAGTGTTAGTAGGTTATTGACTATGCTAAACAAAGAGCTTATGACTCTGTTAGTTCTCCTGCCCTGGTGTGTGGCAACACACAAAGCAAGTTAATTTTTTCAACATTTTTTCTTCAGCTTTACATTTCCTTTAAGATAGAGGCCATTTTCTGATTTTCCTGGGGACAGTATCCCCATGCCAGCCTCTCTCAGTCGATATTGAAGGCTATCTGTTTTGTAGGATTATTCCTTGAATTATGGTTGAAAATGAGAATCCAAAAGATTGAGGATTTTCTTCACTCAGTGGGGACATTGAGGAAGCTGTGCTCACCCCATTCCTGTTTTCCATCGCCTGCGGGCACCACCAGAAAATCCACTCTTTGTGCCCTGAGTGAAATACACTCAGTTCTTCATGTGGCATTTCAAAGGTTTCCATTTTATTCTGTATCTCTAGAGCCATTCATTTCAGAAGTCTTCACCAAGCCACTTTCACTCCAGGTGATAGAATAAACCACACTTTATTTTTTGTTTTTAGTGAGGATGATTCTTGGAGTAAGATGAAAGTCTCTCTCCTTTGTACATGAAACATTTCCTGTCCTTAAAGATCTGTCAAGAGCTAGCTATTTGTTTTTCTATCAAGTTTCTGGCTTTGATACAATTTTTTATGTAGTGACTTTTAAAATGATTTGTTTCTGATTGCTAGCTGTTTTTGATGTTCCGATAAAACTAACTCTCCACCTTCAGTGATCTAAATGAGAAAGATGTGGTTTCATAATGTGAAAAGCTGGGTGAGGGGAAAAAAAAGTAACTATTTAAAACAAAAAGAACAGCAGATAAGAGATACCAAATAATGATTAGGAAGACAGTTGTAACTAATGAGCTGAAATAATGCTTTTACAGGAAAACTAAAGAAATTGTCGATCTTGAAGGTGGATCAGAACAGACTCACACAGCTGCCTGAAGCAGTTGGGGACTGTGAAAGCCTCACTGAATTAGTTCTTACAGAAAACCGGCTCCTGGTGAGTGTGGGGTGCACATTCAAATGGATGTGTGTCGTGTGGTTTCTGTATCAGAAAGACTTATCAGGGTAGGTTCTCCTTACTCATAATTGGGGTGGACTGTGTGGAAATTTTATTATTTCTTACATCTAAATAAGGACTTCAAAGCAAATGCAGGGCATAAAGACGACTGGCTTTTAACCTGCTTCAGTGAAGAGAATGGTAGTTAGGCTCCGCTGACATAGGTGTCCATCCAGTGAGGGGTAGGGATGAGCCCATTAGTGGTTGTGCTGATGCTTCCACCATGGCGTCCAGGGTCCGCCGGGGGCAACCTTCTCTCAGGGTTCTTCGAGCAGATGGAAAGAGAGAAAAGGGGAGAAAGTGGTGTTTGGCTGGGAAAAGCCTTGGTGGGAATAGGGGCAGGGGGATGAGTGCTCTTTGGGGGGTGAGCGTGGAACTGAGATCTTACCCCACCCTGGAAATTGAGGGTGGCAGTGGCTGCAGGTGTCCACACTTGGGCTGGACTTCCCCATCCTCCCAAGGGCAAAGCTTTGGTGTCAGTCACCTGGTCGTGGTGCTGGGGGGGATCCGGATGCGCAGGATGACAGTGGATCTCTGTTGCTCCTCCCTTCCTGCTGCTTTCTCTGCTTTCCTCGGGCCCTCACTGATCACTCTGTCCTCTCTTCCTCCTCTCTTCCTTGTCTTGTAGCAGCTATGTTTGCTTCAGCTTATGTTCCTACCTTGCTCTTTCATTTTGTCAGTCTGTTTCCTACCTTACTCTCCCTGCTCCTTTTCCTCTTCTCTTTTCTTCTTTCTTTATAAAAACAATAAGCAAGGCTCTTTAGGTGGAAAGAGCAGAAAGATAGCACGAGTGGGTAGGACAGAGAGCTGGTGCAGGAGCCAAGCCACATCTCTCCTCCAGCAGTGTGGGCATCCTCCTCTGGTGGGTGTCGTGGAAGTACCCAAATCTTCTCATGCTAGTTAATGGTTTTAGGCTTACAGATATTTATCATTACAGAGGTAAACATAACATTCACCGCTGGCTTCTAGCAGAGTGTTGAAGCTCTCCCCTCCACCAGGGTCCTACCTGATTCCTAGAGTGCTTTGTGTACCCGACCCCCCAGCCCTGCTTGCCTTGCTCCTGTCTCCATGGCACCTTCCCTTCTGCTGCTTCACAGCACCCCGCTTTGGATTCTGGTCCCCCCAACCCTCTGGCTTCCAGGTCATCCAAGCCATTCTCTCAGTGTGGTTCTCAAAGGTGCAGGCAATGAACAATGAATCTTGAGGAGCAAATTTTTACTTAGGTTGAAGAGCATTACCTCTTTACTAGGTGTTTCTCTGTTTCCAGGCCCATGCCTTTGACTCCATTTCATTGAAACATACTCTGGTTTTAACAAAAATATAGAATATTTAATTTTACATCTTCCAAGTGAGCTTTGACCTATATGATATTCAGAAAGAACAATTATGTCTCTTAGTGGATGAGATTATATTCTTTAAATCCTTGAAAAGATCTGTTTTACTGTGAGTCATGTTAAAAAAATGTATTAAATTAATAATTAAAATGTTGTTTTAACAGACTTTACCTAAGAGCATTGGAAAACTTAAGAAGTTGAGCAACTTGAATGCAGACAGAAATAAATTAGTGTCTTTACCAAAAGAGGTATGTGCTTTAAAAAAACAATAATGATTATAAAGAAATAATAGCACACAGGAGATCAAAAGTGTCACACATTTTAAAAGACTTAATGTGGTGCTTTTTAAATGTTATGTACTCCCATTTGTGAGCATATAGATGGTTGGAGAAATTATATCAAAGAACCATCAGCAGTGACTTTAAAGAGGGTAGGCGAGTCCAGATGACTATGAGCATTTGAGAAAGGTGAGTTGATAGGATTTAAAGTGGGAGAGATTTGACATTTCTGGCTTTGCCATACAGAGAGCCATTGACAGAAATAGGTAACTTGGGGGTTTAGCAGAGGAAGCGGATAACGTTGGGTCTAACTGAGTTTAATGTGAAATTAAACTGCTTCCTAAGCCACTGGAATTATAAAAGTGGATCTTGATGCAACCCTTTTCTTGGACAGAGATTGATACCGAGCAGTGTTCATATCTGGGAGAGAGCGAACGAACTCTTCACAAAGGCATTCACATGGAGGGAGGTGAATGGGAAGCTATAGATACTTAGGATTTTTTTTTTCCCTGTCAGTGATCCAACCAAGAGAAGAGCCCATCACCAGGCATTGTGGGGACTAGTTGTACAGATGTAGAGGCACTTCAGTCCTGGTAAGGGAATTGCTGAAAACAAGGGGACCCAGAGCAGATGAAACAAAGACACATGTGTGATATTTAACAAAAGGCTTACCTTCTATTTAGAACTAGGGGAACTGGGAGATGGGTAGTTGATTTTTTTGTTAACCATTAGCCTGAAACTCAGTTCAGCTGCCTTTCTTACCCCCATCTAATGTCGGTGAGCCGTGTCCCCTTTGTTAGGTCTCACATGAAAAGGTGTGATATCGTGTGATGGGATCCCTGGCCAGGCTCAGTGTCCTTCCTTTCTCTGTTTTGACCCTTTCCAACATCTCTCTTGGGATAATTTTATTTGTTTATATTTTTTATTTTTTGTTTTATTTTTCTTGGGATAATTTCAAATCTACCATCCCACCAGCCAGAACTTGCGGGTTCTTGTTGTCCTAGGGCCCTTCCCAGGGTTTCTGAGCTTTGCTTGGCTTCTCTTTCTCTCCCCTTTTGTGGCACTACACCCACCGTCTCCCAGTCTTCTGCCCGGGCAAGGCAGCCAACGTTCCTGAAAGGAAGCAAGGGAGAGTATTTATCATAAATGTGATCATATTCTGACCCACCCTTACTCTGAGCACTGGCACTTAAATAAAACTGTTCCCCACAGAAAGACTTCAGTACACCTCTGCTAAACTGGGACACAAGTAAGAGATTCTGAGAATCAGAACATTGTGGTTCTGGTCTCACAGTGATAAACCAAAACACAGGGCTGATATTCTGAATATTGATTTTATTCTTGTTGAATGGGTAGCAGACTGGACAGGTAGACACGTGCACAGAGAAGTAGAAAAGATTTCTTACTTTTTTTCTAGATGCCACGTCCTGTGCTCGGTGCTGTCGTGTTTGTTAACTCCCTGAATCCTCACAACAGCTTTTGAGGTCGTAAGCCAGAGTTCCTCATTTTCCAGATGAAGAAGCTAAGGCCGGTGGAAAGCCTTCCTTAGCAGGCCTCACATAGCTAGCAGTCGGTAGAATGGGCTCCAGAGATGTGTCCCCCGACAGCCTGCTCACTATTGTTCCACAGGCCAAGGAAAGCATGGCCACTCAGGGCATACGGACGCAGTCCAGCCTTTCCACATGTGGCCCTGAGGTAAGACAGGACCTTAAGATGGTAAAGAGAGGTCAGACAGTCTTTCGTTTGGACATGTTATTAAAATTAATACATTTCAGGAACATTTTCAAGGTTAGTGCTGAAGAGAGCACTTGGGAGTTGAATGTCTATCTCCCAGGAAGTTTCCCCACCCAGTTCCCTATGCCCCTCTTCCGATTCTCTTGCAAAGGAATACATCCTAAGCACAACTTTAACATTTTGTATAAAATTACTGCCATCATGTTAGCATCTGTCCTCATGTGAGCATCTGTCCTCTTCACATTTTAAGAGAATGAAACTCAGGCTTCGGATGGATATACCCACCATGTGCCGTGTGTCTGTGTAAATTTATTAGAATGGCATTTCATGATGTGGGAAGTGGACATGGTATGAAAGTAGTTCTAGCTTTAATGCATTGTAGTTTGCTGTCACATATTATCTGCTCTCCTTGAAATTGTGATTAGTTTTCTGGCATGTAGAGTCTGATAACTGAATAAAGTCTGTGCCCTTTCCTGTAGCTGGGAGAGGAAGCAGAGAGAGTTGAGGTTTTTAGGAACTGGCTCTCTTCTAACATACCTTCATTGCTACTCATGCACACTTACCTCCCAGGGTAGGAAAATGCACTGAGCCCATGCCCCTAATTCTGCTGTGGGTTATAGTGGTGACCCTGTAGAAACGGCTGCTGAGTGCTTGCTGTTGACCATCAGGGCTGAGCAGCCAGACCACTGTAGGCCACCTGACTGTGAAGTGTGTCATGTTGGTCTGCACAGCACAGCTGTGCCATGAGTCTCTGCAGTGCGTGAGTGTGGTAGGCCCCGTAACCGCGTGCACACGTGCATGTGTGTGCGTGTGTGTGGAATCGGGGAGCGGGGCTGGGCCTAGGGACTACGTGTGTGTGTGTGTACTTGCTCTGCCTCCAAGCTTGATACCATTTGGTCATATCCTGTACTTTCCATGATTGGATTCTGCACTTGCAAAACTCTACTACTCTCTCTTGAACAATCAAGTTGCGTGTATGACACATCTAAACCGAAATGCTGACCGATTCAATATATATGCCCCAAACCCACAGTTGTATTAGCTGCGATTGGTCCTGTGTGCCATGTAGTTCTTTCTATTTTTTGTCTTTTTTTAATTTGATATTAGTGTATATCATGTTTTAGAGCACGGCCCCTTAGTCTCTGGCAACATTTATTTGGTTTTTTTTTGTTTGTTTGTTTTTCCCAAATGAGGGAAAATGTACTGTGTGGGTCACAATTATAGATTCTGTTTGTGTTTTGTGGTGTTATTTGTAGTAAACATTTGCAAATCAATGAATGTCTCTTGTTTTCTTAATTGTTAGCTGCTTGGAAATTTAGGAAAGTCGGGTAAACTTGTTATCTTGTAAGTATTGTTCAGACCATAGTTGCATCTCTAACTTCCATTTTGCTTCTTAAATGCATGAAGATTTCAAATCAACTGACTGCTTTGTGTGTTCCTCATTGTAAAATATTGGACATTTTCCTTTAAACGCAGTTTTGTTTTTGTTTTCTTTTAAATGACTGCATGGCCTGGAACCTTATTTTGTTATGTGTTTGTCAGTTGTCAGGTTTGTTCAGATTGCTCTCCCCCAAAAGAATGCTTTTCTGTGAATTACATTTTAAGTTATTCAGAAATTCCAAAAGGCATAACGTGGCAGCTCATCTGTCTTCACTGAATTCCAGTTTGTCAGCACAATTCTCTCTCTAATGGAAAGGCTAGATTTGCTTTATTTGCTACATGTGGCATGCTTCTCATTTTTCAAGCAACTTAATTGTGTCTTTTATTTCTCATCCTGTCATGTAAGTGTGTATGCTTCTGGGGGAAAGAAGGCTCCCTAAAAAACGCATGTTTTTGGTGGAGGGAAGAATTAAAAAGAGACCGTGTTGTGTGATGCGTGGACAGACAGGGAGTTAGTTTATGTGTGATTGTGGGTATGAGGAAAGAGAGCCAGCAACTTCATAACATTCCCCAGCCAAATCTTACCTTTGAACAATCTGCACCATTTAAAGAGTTTCTGGCTGGAACAAATTGAGCATGTGTCCAAGTTTAGAGTCTAGTCTTTTGTCTCCATTAAGTCAAAATGAAAGTGATCTTGACTTCATCACACTTACGCAGTCAAAAGATAGGATTTACAGATCATTCATCAAATCTTGTTTTTGTTTTTAAACAGGCACTCTGTAAATGTTAATTACCCATAATATTTTGATTTTCAGAGAGAGAATTCGTTTTATGAATAGCTTTCTGTCTTCTTATTACAATTTAGTGTAAACTTCCATCATATTCTAAAATGGATTATTGCTAAAAGGGGTAAGGTAAAACCTAAAAATACAAGAATAAAACATAGTTGGCCATTGGATTTCAAAATGGAGAAGGCATTTCCAAACTTGAAAGTGGAAAGAAGTCTTAAAAAAAACAAAAACAAAAACAAAACCCAGTTGATAGATTTGTCTTACGTGAAAATTAGATTTCTGATCTTCAAGAAGGTAGAGACACCCTGAGGGCCAGAGGAGACTTAGAACATTACAGATTAAGAAGGTCTCGCCTCACTCTACTTGAAATGCTTCCCAATGATTAAGAAAAAGAGGTTTCCACTGGAGAAAATTAGACAAATTGAAGCAAAGAACCCATCACAATAAGCAATAAGTGATTCAGAGAAGAAAAAATAGAAATGATTATCGATGTGAAAAAATTTTAGCACCATCAGCATTCACAGAAATGTTAATGGAAACTTTTTGACCTATGAACTTATCAGGATTAAAAAAAAAATGATGCCAAATGCTGGCGAGGGTATGGGAAAATGCATAAATGATAGGGAAGTATAAATTATTACATCTTCTCTGGAAGGGAACACAGTAATATTGAAACCTTTGAAAGTGTTCATACCCTTTGATTCTGCAATGCCACTTCTAGGGCTTTGTCCTAGGAACACAGTTGTGGTACACAGGAAAACCAGGCAAAAGGCTATTTCTCATGTAGATGTAGGGGCAACTCACATGTGGCCGGCACTGTGCTTTCCTCCATATCCATGTCTAATCTTCACAACAGTCCTGTGAGGTATAGGTAAGTCGTTATCAACATCCAAAAGACCCGGAAACCCAGACTCAGCTACAGTAACTCGCCCAAGATTACACAAAATGGCAGAACCAATTAGCAGTGTCTTACGTGGGAGATTTGTGATTTGTAAGACATCTGTAGAATGAAATAGTTATGTGGTCAATAAAAGTCCTTTTAGAAACATACTGATCTGGGAGGACATTCCTGATGTCATATGTAAACAGAAGTGCTGAAGATCATAGTGTTGCTCCTAATTTCATCAAAGCGTGTGTGTGTGCGCGCGTGTATAAAATTTATATGTAAAATATATATCTATATATATATGAAATCACTATATATAATACACACACATATATACATATGTATATATGTGTGTGTATATATATATGAAATCACAAATGCGTGGCAATAATACCGAAAGATTGTACTTTAGAATGTTAATATCGATTATCCCTTTGGGGTAGGATTTGGTCTTAGTTTTTTCCTTGTGCCTTTACATGTGCGTATTTATGGTTTTTATTTTCCAATCAATGTAACTTACTGTTTTATAATTAGAAATGAAAAATGCTGTAATTATTAGTGGATATTTTGATGTCAGTGGCCCAACAATTCAGGAAGTCCCAAAGCCACATGATTTCCAGAATATTTATGAAATAGGAACATTAGAATAATATGCCACAGATAATGATGGGAAAAGCAAAAAACAGTCTTTGCTTTCTAAAATTACTCACCATATTATTACAGCTCAAATTGTATTTTCACCAGATTTCGCTTATTGTTCGTTTCCCTTTCTGCCAGTGAAATAAGGGTTTCATTCTGTTACACAGAATATTAAAAGGCCAATACTGAAGGAAAAATGAAAGTTTCTTCACACTTGGGGCATGTGTTCAGAAAATGGAATATAGGTAGGCTATGATGACTAGTACAGGCTTTCTCTTTGGATCACTGACTGATTATCTCCTCTTGAATAATGTCACCTCCAGGCAATTAACATGTAGCACAGCTGACCCGACTAAGGGTTTGCTCAATGACCAGCAGGTCCCATCTCCTCCAGATGGGTTAAATCAGGTCCAAACAGTGAAGGAAGGTATCATCTGGAATTAAGATACACAAACCAGCAAAACAAAGATTCTCTGCTACATTCTGTAGTTCTCCAAGTCCAACCCCTTGTATTCTGGGAAGGTACTATTATGTGGTTTTAGGAAGTATAAAAATATCAGCTTCCTACATAGGTGGTAATAAGTTATTTAAACAGTGACTCTGCTTCCCAGAATTTCTAAATGGTACAGGCATTTTATTCTGACGATCACTAAGGACCTGGTAAACTACCTCCTGGACCTGAGAGAGAAAGCAGAAACACACATGAGCCATATGTATCCTACAGTACTGAGATCACACCAGTGCTTCACTAGCAGTAAAGTCACAGTGTATTTATCCCTAGTATTTAACACAGTGACATTTTGACATTTTGTCATTTTGTCACCGTGATGCCTCACAAGGGAGAGATTTTTAAGAAGGTCAGGGATGTTCTGGGAGGAACTCAACAACGTCAGCACACTTCCAACAACACAGCAGGCACCCAAGTGTTGACTCACCTGGTCCTTTGGATCCAGGACTTTGACTTCTTGAAAAGACAATAACCGTCATATTGGTTTGCCAGCCACATTTACTAGACCAGGTTCTATGATAGGTGCTAAATTGTGTTTGTGGTTTCATTTAATTGAATCCTGATTGTTACTTTTGGTTAAAGTAACATAGTCAAACACACAAAACACAGGATTGAGTCTCAGGTCCAGCCCAGGTCTGTGTGATCCCAGAGCATCCATTCCAGGGCTCCATGTTCCGCTCTGATGTCTGTGAAAACTGTACCTTTTGAATTATGGTTTTTACTGCTTAATAGTCTTTTTTCTCAAAGCCAAAGCCAAAGGCTCATGCCATCCCTTCCTGGATGATTTGGAAAAAGGTCTCTGTTTGTGCACTGTTTTGCCTGGGATGGCACTTGCATCTGAGGGTGATGAAGGCGTCCAGGCACACTGGCAATAACACTCTCTCTTTGTGGGCATTGTTTCATTGTTTTCCGAAACCCTTCGACAGTGGAGATCAGGAGGTCACTCTGCCTGCTGTGACAACCCAGAGTGCCTAGCAGGCTCTTGAATACAATTGTTTTCCACTCCTTGAGGTCTCAAATGGATTTGAGATTAGAATGGGAAAAGAAAAAGAAAAAATAAATAAATGAGATGTAAACACAGTACATAGCTCACGCACTCCACTGGGAATTCACATTATCCCCCTCCCAGAGTCTTAAGAGGTATTTACTTGTCCAGAATTTTTATTGCTTCAACAGCTATTAGAGCCCTCTCTGACCCATTTTAATGAGTTAATTTTTAATAGGTAGTATATGTACATGATACAAATTGAAAATGTTCACATGCTATAGTATTAGGGCCCCAAACAGATACCCAACAGGTGGCTGGAGCAGTGGACAGCTTCATGACAAAGTGCCCACAGTTATGATGCAACCTCAGTTCTGTACACGCTCCAGTAGTTAATTTTGCCATTGTGAGGGTTGTCTATTTGCATAACTGCTTTGCCTCCCTGGAGTACAGATAAATCTTATTGTGTTAAAGCCAGGCCAGGATGATAAGGTTAAGGTGAGGTCCAGCCTCAGCCCCATGCTGACCTGGAAGACCTCCCACATGGCACACAGACCCACCACTGAACCTAGAGCCAGTGCATGGGGAGCAGAGTCACGAGGGGTTCCCCTCCATGAGGAACTTGGGGATTTCTTCCCATGAATAGATCTTTGTTGGGATCATCTCAGTTTATCAGAGAAAATCTAATCATATCTATCCTCTATCTTCATTCAAAGCTTAGATTCCTTCCATAATATTCCTGGGCATCTGAGTAAAACTAATGATTCCCTTCCTCAAGAGGGAAGAATGCCAAGCCCCTTAAAGATCCTATTGTAGATCTCTTTCAGGGCATGATATTGGGGCCCTGCATTTATAAAACCTAAGAGAGCCCTCTCTAATGATTCTTAAAAAGAGTTTTGTGGTTTTCATTTCTACACATAGAAGGAGATATTAACTTCAAGTAGCAGCCTTTCACTAGTAAGTAAATAAACATAAGCATATAAACATATCTAAATGAGAAAAGTTGATGAGTGGGTAGGATGGGTACTGTACTTACCACGCACTGTGGTTATATGGACATGTGCAAGTTAACTCAGTGAAACAATCTGTCAGAGGGTTTGTATAGACCATAACTGCAAATGAAACACAGAGCAGTGTATCAGTGTGGACTGTGGGGTTTGGGGAAGACTCGATGGTGTAGAGGATGTTTAGCTACTTCTGGACAGTTGATAAGATTTAGAAGGACAGAAAAAAAGAGCATTTCTGTAAGACACAGTGGAATCAAAATGTTACGTTTTAGAGGGTAGTGAATGCACCAGTTGGTGGGATGGGAAATGTGAACACTGAAAGATCATGGAGACAATCTAAAAGCCTTTCTACATATCTGGGTGTAATCCATTTTAGACAAATGTTAGTTCGTGTTTTCTTATATGTTTTCTTTTACATCCATTATGGTTAAATACTGTGGTTAAATACATGATCTCAAGTCTTTATATTAACTCTTAGGGGAAGACATAGTAAGATTGTTCATGAAGGTAATTATGTAGCAATTTCATAAATATGCATTCTGCTTTTTTAAGGTATATACATGTATTAAACATGTATACATAGAAAAGGGTATAAGATGTACTCAGATATAATTGAAGATGCAAGTCTTCTGCCTCTCCTCAGTGGGAAGCTGTGGAGTATTTTTTCCATGTGTCAGAGAAACATCAATAGGTTCCTTCATGAGCCTTTGCTTGCAGTCGCTCTGGGTCAGGATAGTGAGTACAGGAAGAATGTAGTACTGTATGGAGTCCTGCAGAATGTTGTGTCTGAGATTGAGTTATTTTTCTATCCCTTTGGTTCAGCTTTCCTGACCATAGAAACCCTGGCCAGTTTGCTCAAGAGACTGATTCAGTTCTTTTGTGCTTATGTTCTTTTTTTGAAAACCAGGCTCATATAAAGCTCAATTATCTTTGAATCGCTGACTTTAAAAATAAATAAAAAAATAGTAATCAAATTTGTCGTGGATGTAGATATTTCTACAAGCATTAAGTTTACCAGATTAATACGTGTATTTACCACATTCAGTTTTTGCTAAAATATTGTTGATTTTGTGAAAGGGAAATGAATATTTACTAAATTAAGCTGTGAGTGACCAAAAGTAGTTAAAAGATGTATAGTAGAAAATTAATGTACTGTATTGTCTATCCAGGATCCTTTTTTTTCCTCCTCCTTTTTTCTTTTTTTGTTCTGTTTTTTGTTTTTTGAAATGAACTGGGGACACTGGGAACACTGGATTTAATATAATGGGCAGGTCTTCGAAGGGGTGTGTATGTATCATTCTTGGCCTTATTTTTGAAACTTAGAATTCTTAATAACCAAATAATATTTACCAAATATTACCTATATTACCAAATAATATTTGTCTGGACCTGGGTAGCCTAGTTAACATATTTAAAAAATACAGTTGCATTAGATAGCAACGGAAAATGACTTGCTTTTCAGAATGAGATTTTTTTGAACTGTACTGTTTATTTTCTTGATTTAATTTAGAACATATACATTTAATGCATTGATGAGATTTTTATGAACTTACTGGACTACTTAGTGTTTCGTATGATTTAAATTAATCATAGTTGGTCTCAGTGAAACTTAAAATCATGTGGTATCATTTTATGTGTCCTTTTCATGCCATTTGACAAACAAGATACTCCAGTCCCACCACCATCTTTCACAAAAAACCTGGAAAAAAGATGTATTTTCTTTCTCATTGTAGATTGGAGGGTGCTGCAGCCTCACTGTATTCTGTGTGCGTGACAACAGACTAACTCGGATACCTTCAGAGGTGTCGCAGGCCACAGAGCTTCATGTCCTGGATGTGGCAGGGAACAGGTAAGCATGTTCTGGTTTGCTTTTTTTGAGAAAAAGAACCAAATGTTCATTCGCCCCAACCTTTTATCATGTGTCTTTGCCATCTTGCCTTTGCTCCATCTTTTAGAATATGTATTAGTTGAATGACCCAGGACCCAGAAAATTGTTAATCTGAGAGCAGGAGTGATGGAGCTGGATGGAGTAGAAGAGGTCAGGGATGACCTGAGTGGGAGGCACTTTGACATTTAAGTAGACCCTTCTGTAGAAATGCTTCCCAGAACAGCAGTACAGTGATGTGAGGGAAACAGTGCTGCCTGAGAACTGGGATACTTAGGTTTTACCTTAACTTTGTAGCTTTTATAAGTCATCGTGCGCCTCTGGGTTTCCTTCTCTGAAGAATGAGCTTGAACAAATTTGAACTGTATTTTAACCAGGGATCTTGATATACTTTGCTGGTGATTCTGAACCCCCTGAAATTGTAAACAAAATTGTATTCGGGGGCACATTTCTGGCCAAAGGATCTCTGGCTAATGTCAGAATCACCAAGTGGTCATAATCAAAGTGAAGAGCTACCCAACTGGTATACCCCAAGGTCACAGCAGTACCATTTTTCAAGTTGTGCTTGAGAGGTCATGGTAGACCACTTCCTGGTTTTGGAATATGCCTTCTGTTCACCTGTGTAGAATATAGATTTGTTTCAGCCAGTCTGAACTAACTTCGTCACCTCAGATTGCATGTGCCCTTTCTTTCCCTGGAGCCTAGACCAGCTACTCCTTCTGCCTGAGACCCTCTTCTCTGATTCCCACTGCTGTTTTCATTTTCTCCAGGGAGCTTTCTTTGTATGGAGCCTGCTTCTTTGAATTCCCCCTAACATAGGACTCACAGCACCATATAATAATTGCCAGCCTATGCGTGTGTGAATGTCTAAACCTAAAGTTGTGTGACGTCAGATGTGGTATCTGGGCCACTGTGCCTTTTATCCCTGCACAGTGCCTGGTACATGATAGAACCTGGTAAATATTTGTCACCCAAATGAAAATGTTAAAAATGTTAGTTTTGCAGAGTGAATAGGTGGCCACTGCGAAATACCTTGTATCACAGGCTGCATCACCAAAGGAATTTTAAAAATGCTTTCGAGTGTTACATAGTTAGATAGGAGGAAAAGTGCCCAGCCAGGAGAAAATGATCAATGATTTTAAATGAGAGATAGCAACAGCGGTCGGAAGAGTGTTTGGGGGATTGTGTGCTAAGTGCTAATTAACTGGTCACTTAGGTCAGACACAAGCCACCGTTTCTCATGCTGGCCAATGGATTGTAGGTTGTGGCGCTAATAAATAGCAGGACTCAGTGAACCTAAGAGGGGGGCCCACCATTTTCAAGTGAAGGCTTTTAGGACATCTTGATAGATTCTTAAACCACTGACTGGTTACTAGAAACTCAGGATTAATTTGAGTTGAGTGTTGACTTTCTGCTGAATGGAGTCTCGTGTGCAGCATAAAGCTTGGGAAGGATTGTTCTTTCCTAAACTCCAGCAGTAGAAACTCAGTAACGCCCAACCTTCCCAGACTCTTGCCACACCTGTGAGCATGAAATTGCATCATTAATTCCTGAGCAGAAGATGGCTCTGATGCCTGAAAACTGTTTTTCACATGAGTGAAGGCTCTAATCTCTAGTTCTCAGAAGGGAAAGTTAAATGTTTATTATGCTTGGGCTGGAGTGGAGAAAACCCCATTAAAAAGTAGAGTTACGTATCTGTCATCTGAGTCAGTTTAATGTGTCACATGTATATACAGATTCATAGCCAAATTTTAAACCTATTAAAATATTTAATTACTACTTACTTAAAGTATTAGTATAGAAACTAATAAAAAAAAGGCTACAATGTCAGCTTTTTAGCTTACAGAAATGTTACACCATGGGAAATCATACCACATACAACAGAAGTTTTGCCTCTTCTCTCAAGCATGTAAAAATAGCAAATAACACAGACTATATATTAGTTTCCACAAATTTTCTTCGACAAATTTGATAGGGTAACTATAAAATGCCACTTGGAAACCAAATATCAAATCTTTTGGTACAGTAACAGAGAAGATGTCTTTTATCATCAGCAACCCATGGACACAGAATCCATTTCCTTAATTCTTACTCTTTCCCATAGGACTATCCCCCCCACTACACAATATCTAGTATTTGAGAATCTTTGAGGGAGAGTAGTACCAAATACTAGAAACAGTGGCTGTCAATGGAGAAATAGTTTGTACCTTTGAATTTTATAATCCCAAAAATTAAATTTAAAAATATTAAAACATATTACTTCACAGCTGTTAGAGTGGATGTTATTTAAAAAAAAAAAAAAAAAACAAAAAAAAAACAAGATAACAAGTGTTAGCAAGGATGGGGAGACAAGGGAACCTTTGTTCCCTGCTGCTGGTGGGCATGTAAATTGGTGTAGCCATTAGAGAAAACAGTATGGAGGTTCCTCAAAAATTTAAAAATTTAACTATCATATGCTGTAGCAATCCCACTTCTGGCATATAGCCAAATGAAAGGAAAACAGGATATTGAAAAGAGATCTGTGCTCTCTTGTTCACAGTAGCCAAGATATGGAAACAACCTAAACAATATCAGCAGATGAACAGATAAAGAAGATGCAGTATGATACATATAATGGAGTATTATTCGGCCTTAAGAAAGAAGAAAATCATGTTATTTATGACAATATAGATGGACCTTGAGGGCATTATGCTAAGTGAAATAAGTCACACAAAAAAAGACAATCCTGTATGATCTTACATATGAAATCTAAAAAAGCCAAACTCCTAGAAATAGAGAGTAGAATGGTGGTCACCATGTGCTAAGAGTAGGGGAGGTAGGGAGGTATTGATCAGTGGGTACAAATTGCCAGTTACAAGATGAATAAGTTCTGGGGACCTAATGTATAGCATGGTGACTATACTTAATACTGCCTTATATCCTTGAAATTTGCTGAGAGAATAGATCTTTGAATGGGCTACACACACACACACACGCACATGCATGAAAAATGGTGATTATGTGACTGGATGGAGATGTTAACTAAAACTCCACTGTGGTAGTCACTTGGGAATATATAAATGTATCAAATCATCTCAGGTGCACCTTAAAATTACACAATGTTACATGGCAATTATAGCTCAGTAAAATGGAGAAAAACTATTAAAAGGCAAAATACAACATAGCAGTGTACTTGTACTGTGGAATAGTAAGTAGTTAGAAGAGTGACATAATTTCTCTGTGTAGTAACACAGGATGCCCATGGTACCGAGTAAGAAGAATAGCTATTGGACATAACACAGCATTCTCATTTTTGTTTTTGCTTTTAAAACAACCTATCTATGTATTATAACAAAACATTAATAATAGTTCCCATAGAGGCAGAGTGGAGGCCTGAGGTTACAGGGGGCTTTCCCTTTAGATATTTTAGTACTAGTTAAATTTTCCCACTGATATGTTTTCTCTTCATATCTTTAAGCAGTTTTGAAAACTTGCTGGGAACTAAAAATTCTAGTAGGAGGTAAAAGATGAAACATTCAGTTGTAAGAAGCATGCAACTATAGGTCAATAGGCCATGTGTAGTTGTTAAGTAAATTTGACAGCACAATTGCTACAGTAGTGCGGAGGTGGGGAAGGTCACCTCAGGTTAGTTGGTCAGGGATTTAATTGGAAATGAGAGACATAGCTCATGGTATGGTTATTCGTTTGCCTTAGTCCTTGTACCGTTGATATAAATAGTAACCACAGGCTTTTTATTTTGAGGGGATGCGGTCCTTAATAAAACAGGGAGATGTGAGATGTGTACAAATAGGGCTGTGGTTTCTTGTGTTGAGTCTGCAGTATACAGAAGGTACCAGAGGTGTGTGCTCAGTTGGCAGCAGCCATGTTCAAGCTGGCACTGATTCTTGACGGGGAAACTGGTGTTCCAGACAAGTCACTAATCTTATATGGCTTGGTTGAATATGATTATAAGATCTGTTGTTGTAGAGACTGTAGTTTATTTTAACTTTTATCATATGATTTGCTATCCTTGGAAGCTGTTACTTATTATTGATGCACTGTTTAGTGTTTTATTTATGCCTTTGCTTTATTTAGCACTTAGCTGCAAAGCCCATTATTCTGAGAAGATACAATGACCATGTTTGAGTATTTGTGTTTTGTGCCAGTTTTCAAATCTCAACTATTTTTTTCTTTATGCTCTTATGAGTAAGAAATCTAGAGATACTGACTGTAAATTTCTTGTGTAAGATCCTGAAACTTTCAAAAGAATCATCCCTTTATTCATTAAAATGAAAAAGAGTTAAAGTACTTAACGCTTTCACAGTGTGCTAGGATATTGTTTTAAAAAAATCCCTGTCATCAGATCTGGCAAATACATGTCTGTCTTTAACTTCCTTACATTTGAATAAATGTGTGACAGCCTTTGGGCCGAGGCAGGAATAATTTTTTGTATAAGCATAAGAGCTTTCACTTTCTATCTCACTCAAAGACCCAACATCTCAGAATAGGAAGTGGAGCTGTAAAGGCCTGCTTCCTCAGATCCCTTGGGCATCCTTCATGGTGTGAGCCTGTCACTGAACTCAGTAGATTCTGGGATTTAAAAATATGTATTTCTCACTCAGTTTGGCCCTTATTAGCAAAGTACTAGAGTATACGATACACAGAGACTTCTCAAGGGTACTTTAACATATGCAGGTCTCATGGATGCATTAACTCTAGAACCTAACTCTCATGTAAGGTACAATTCCACTGACTCAGTACTGCACCCAGTACGTATGCATGGGATGGGCCAACCTTTGCTAGACTAATTGTTAGGAAAAGAAAATAATTTTGTCATCTCCATAACTAGTATATTGGAAATATGTTGTAAATAATACTAATTTGTTCTTTGGAAGTTTGTTAATAATGCATTTGTTGTTAACACTCCACGTACTCTTTGATAATTTTTACTTCATTTGTTAAAGTAACAACATTCTGTGCTTACATTTTATTTAGATTAGTTTAATAATATTAGAGTACAACTTCTCTTCATATCCCTACATAGAGTTTGAATTAATTTTCCTTAAGCCTGCCCATTCAGAGTGGCATCTATGTCTGATAATGCAGTATTGATCTCTCGGTAAATAAGCTGTACATGTAGACCTCCCACATGTGTTAAACTGGAGACAGGTGTGCAAGTTCATAAAAGAGCTCCAGCAATACATGCTGCCATGTGATTTCTTTACGGAGTTCATGGGCCAAGGATTTCTTTAAGAAAATGTGCCTTATCTTGTGGCTACAGAATGCAGTCAGCTCATTACTGTCCAGCTTGTAAAGTTACTGCTGAGATTATAATTTAATGCACATGGAGCCATCTTTAGAGTAAAAATACTTGATCAAATACAACCTTAGTTTCATTAAACCTTAAATTCCTGGTATCTGCAGAGGTTTGGTTGTTTTCATAGTGCATTAGTAGACTTGTATAAGGCATTGGTTTTTACTAAAGCAGTCTTTTCACCCCCAGCCGTTGTTAGCATTTTGAGCCAGATAATTCTTTGATGTGGCGGCTCTCCTAAGCATTATAGGATATTTAGCAACATCCCTGGCCTCTACCCACTAGATGCCAAGAGTACCACCCAGAAATGTCTACAGACATTGCCAGATGTCCCTGAGGCAGAAGCGTCCCTGGTTAAGAACCACCGCACTAAAGTAGTCTTTTGGTGAATACAAATGTATATGATTCCCGGTGCTGGTTTTGCTAAATAGAGTTAACTAGGTGCAGTCACTTTGTCAGACATGTGTGCGAACATTAATATAGAATTAATCTTTAGGTGTCACATTACAGTTTTTAAAGTGCTTTAATACATATGATCTCACTTGAAACTGAAACAATGTGAAGTGGACATTAACTATCCCATAGGAGTCTGGGGAAGTGGAAGTTTCTAGAAACTAGAAGATACAAGCTTAAGATGGATACCTAAAATAATCTCCTTAGACAAAGAAAATGCAGTGCAGGAAGAAAATGTTTTCATCTTTATTATAACTGCCACTTAAATTCTTCAGCACCCCAGGAATCTCCTTCCACTCTTCCTCATTTTTGCCAGGTGCTACTGAAAACAGGCCTTCATCAAGGAGGCTGTTGCCATTGACTCAGTAAGAACTCCTGCTACTGCGTCCTTCCATGGTCAGACTGGCTTTTTTTCTCTTTAAATCCAAACCTCCTAATGTTTTGCCCTGTGGCCAGAGGTGCTGATGTAATTATAAAATCTGAGACCTTGATGTCTTCTTTTGCTTTAAATTAGGCTGTTACATCTGCCTTTATCCCTGACCGCCTTGAAGCTGAAGGCTTTGTGGTTGTCTGACAACCAGTCGCAGCCCCTACTCACGTTCCAGACGGACACAGACCACACCACAGGAGAGAAGATTTTGACCTGTGTCTTGCTTCCTCAGCTGCCTTCTGAACCTACTTGCCAAGGTGAAATTAAGAACAATACTCACATGGCTATGAGAATTAGTAGGAGCTAATACCTATCCATAAGACCTCTTACTCCCATGTGCGTCTGTAATTTGTCTAATGTGCCCCTAGAGCCAGCCTGGGTGAGGTCACTGTGGATGTCCTCTGGGAAGGTTCTTTCCTCTGTACCTTCAAAGAAAAAGTACCCCTCACACCTTCTTATCATATCTGAAATTTCTTAAACAGCCTTTTGTATTTGAATTATTGCTAAGACTGAAAACACAAGTACTCTTTAAAAAGTTGACAGAGTCCCTTAAAATCCAGACTGGTAGTTTAGAGGATTAGAACACCACTGACAAACAGGTTTTTTTGTTTTTTGTTTTTTTAAGATTTATTTATTTTACAGAGATAGAGCAGGAGTGGGAGGGGCAAAGGGAGAAGGAGTGCGATCTCAAGCTAACTTCACACTGAGTGCGGAACCTGACTGGAACTTGATCTCACTACCCTGAATCATGACCTGAACTGAAATGAGGAGTCCGTGTTTAACCGAATAAGCCACCCAGGTGCCCCCAATGACAAATAGTTTTTAGGCCAGTCTGTTATTTTAAGTCATTGTATCTTTGTTTTATAAATTATGTGTGGTTTTAAAAAATATTCACACTAACATCAAATTGCCATTATAAATCTGCTGAGAGTTGGTTTTGATAAAAGAGAACTAGAGTGCACTGGGAGAACAGGAATCCCCTAGGTGGAAAAGCCCCAAAGCCATTTTGCCAATCCCAACCTTGTTAGAGGAGCTTTTAAGACCCCAAGGGGAAGACAACAGAAGTGTTACTAAGGAAAGTACTGGAGTCCAACATGTACAACTACATCAGTGTCATGAGAAAGGTTTTTTGTTTTTTGTCTTGTCTTTTTAAGTAGGCTCCATACTCAACATGGAGCCCAATTAGGGGGCTTGAACTCACAACCCTGAGATCAAAACCTGAGCTGAGATCATGAGTTGGATGTTTGACTGAGCCACCCAGGCACCCCCTCACCACAATAAAGTTTTTAAAGTTAGCTTATAGAAAAGAATTGTGAAAAAGGATTCTATAAATTATGATGACATTCTGTGATGAAATACTAAACATTAGTTTGGCAGATATTTTATATGATCTCAAATAGAATTATGCAACATTGAAAAGAAAGGGTAACCCTGTCCTAGATTCTTTTCTAATTTTTTTGAAATACTACATAGCAGTTACCAGTCACACAAACTCAGGTTCCCAGCTGATGTGGTCTTTGTCATGACAGAGAACCTCCCTCGCTGTGGGGCACTGGAGAGCTTGGTGAATGATGTCCCGGATGACACCTGGAATGAGCGTGCAGTGAACAGAGTCAGTGCAATCCGATTTTTGGAAGATGAGAGAGATGAAGAAGACAATGAAACGGTATAGAAATGGAGATTGTTGGCCTCCCTGAAAATGCAAAATTTAAAAGCCTTCCAAGACCAATAGTGGCACCTAATAAGGATTTCTTTTAATTTCAAATTGTTCTCTGCTTAGCCTTCAGCATGTAAGAATTTTTTAGAAGACAAAATTAGGTATTTCTAGGTACTGATTCACCAAATGTATATAAAGCAAATGGACCTTTTGGGATTTTTTCTTGGAATAGTTTATACTCTTGTTCCTTATTTGTGATAGCATCCTTTCTTGCCTCCGGTAAACTGGGAATTTGCTCTGGGTTTTTTTTCCCCTTTTTTATTATTATTTTTTTAAGATTTTATTTATTTTTGCAAGAGAGAGAGTGTATAAGCACTAGGAGGGGCAGAGGGAGAAGCAGACTCCTCATTGAGCAGGGAGCCCCAGGCGGGACTCAGTCCCGGGACCCTTGGATCATGACCTGAGCCCAAGGCAGATGCTTAACCAACTGAGCCACCCAGACACCAGAAATTTGTTTTCTGTTTTTGTTGTTCTTGGTGAATGAAGTCTCCTCCCCACCACCATTTAGAGGTGTATGGCAATGACTCCATTTGCACTTCAGAGTGTTACTTGGCTTGCCTTCTGTGGAGCTGTGCTTCTCTCTGTCCTTCTCTCTGTCCTTTATTTAATTAATCATTCTTCTCTTCAGCCTCAGGCAGAGTGCTTGCGATCTTAGTTGGGTTTATTTACAAGTTTTCATTCAAAAATCAGGAATAGATTTGAAGGTATTACTTAGCCTTACTCTATCCACACTTTAAAAATGTCTGTCGGCCAGCTGATGTCTTCAGGAGTCTGTGACAACTCTTGAAATATTATTACATGTTAACTTTGGCTTCTTAAACTCCTTTTGCTAATTGAGATTTTCATAAGCGGAGCTAAGAGGGAGTACCTACAGCCCCCAAAGCAAAGGGTGGCTTTTAAATGACTGCTGTGGTGTCTGTTATTCCAGCTGTCACCAAACGGGATTTTATGTTTACAGTAATGGAGCACAGAATGGGAATTAGGCACAACAAAGTGACTTCAGCAGAAAGGAGTCCTCAGTGCTTACCTGTTGGCTTGCCGGAGGATGAGGAATTCACCGGTTCTTTCACTGTCTCAGTAGTGCTCTTGGCTGTTGTGTCACCGTACTTTAGGCTCCTTCTCCTGAAACTCCTTGGACAGGCCATTTACTCGACAGAAATGCTGTCTTAGGAGCCAGAGAGCACCTGCTAGGTCAAATAAGAGTTTTTTTTAAAGATTGTCCCTTCCCGGACACTTCACTCCCAGCACTATGGCCTTTATTAGAAAAATGTGAACTCTCTTTAGTAAACACAAATAAGACACATAGCGGCCAAGAAAAGCAGCTCTTCTCTCTCTCACTTCCCTTTTCCTTCCACTCCCATGCCTCCATGTTGAAGGAAGCCAAATCCACTTCAGGTAGTGGTAGACCACTGCAATGATTGTAAGTTAGAATTTGTTTACCCCTTTATGTTTTTCTTTCTTCACACCCCACACCAACATCTTAAAAATCTTTGTTTCCTTGCCCTTCATGGAACTTAATTTTTATCTTACGCTAATCTTACATATTACAGAGTATTCTTTTATTCTGAAAGTAACCCTTCTAGGTAGACCAGTTGAGGTGCCCCTGACACCTTCATCTCCCTGAACTGCCAGTGAGCAGCTGATAAGCAGCATGCGGGGCTCCCAAGGAGGCGCTTCTGCCCCCTCCGAGCGCCTGCATCCCGAGAAGGGAGGCTTTGTCCCCGAGTGCCCCCACCCTGAAGCTGCCTGTTGAAAGAGTAATGACATAAGACCCACACACTCACTCCCCTGCTTGTTTTCAGAGAACACTTCTGCGGCGAGCCACTCCACACCCAGGGGAGCTAAAGAACATGAAAAAGACAGTGGAGAATTTACGGAATGACATGAATGCTGCTAAAGGACTGGATTCAAACAAAAACGAGGTCAATCACGCCATTGACCGAGTGACCACTTCTGTATAGAACTTCACCTCCAAGTTTTACCTCCCGTGTCTTCCCCTGCTGTTGAGATCCTGTCTCCTCCCCAGGAGCAACGCGTGGCCCTGGGGCTTCACCAGAACGTTGTGCGTGCCCGTCACCGCCCCGGAACGTGTGTGCGTGCACGTCACCGCCCCGGAACGTGTGTGCGTGCACGTCACCGCCCCGGAACGTGTGTGCGTGCACGTCACTGCCCCGGAACGTGGGCGCATGCGCATCACGGCCCAGGCCGCATGCTGGGCTGCTGCTGTCCCCATGGAAGTGCCTTATTCCGGCTCCTCAGCCAGCCAGGGCACCAGTGCGCCCCCGGTATGCCGCCTCTCCCCTGACTTCTAGTCATTTGTCATAAGTAGAATACACTACTGTAAACACCTGACCTTTGCTTCTGTCTTATGTTGGGGTAAGGGAGCGCAGGAAGGGAAGTTTTGTTGATCCTCCTCCCTCCCATAAAGTGCTGGGACATTTTGAGCCCAAGTTCTCTTGGACCTACTGATGAGAGATAGTTTTACGTACGGCGCATAATTGATCCTTTTTTAAAAAACTTTTTGGCAGCTCAGATGGTGTAAATTTAAAAATTTTGTATAGGTATTTCGTAACAAAAAAAAATGTGTATTTCTTTTTTGTTATTTTATCTTGGAAACGGTACATATTTTAGCATTTGTGCAGGAAAAAAAAACACAAAACAGTCCTAAAGTATTTGTTTTCACTTGTACCACCCACTTGTGCCTTACTGTATCCTGAATCATGTCAAACCAGTTGTACGCAGTGGCATCGATGAGCAGTGAGATGAGACTAGGAGTGTGGTACTTTTAAAGCAGTGTTGGATTTTAATCAGTAATCTACCTGGTGGATTTGTTTTTAACCAAAAAGAAGAGTTACCACCAATTTGTAAATTTTATCAGTAGATTTTTTTTAAAAAGAGGAACCAAAGGATTAGACTGCTAATATTTCATGTCTTACACTTTAACTTTTTATGAATGAGTCTCTTGTAATGAGTGCAGCATCTGATTGTACCTGTTTGGAAGGTATATGCCATTTGTAAAATAAAATAGAGGAGAAAAGCACAAAAGGAGAAAACTGGTTCAGAAATTCAGTGGATAAATTAACTATGTACTGCAAAAGAAAGTATGATTTTTATGGAAGAAAGCTTTAAAAGTTTTATATTGAGATATAAAACCACAATAAAGCAAAATAACCATATTAGAAATGTTGCTATCTTTGTAAGTGCAATTTAATTTGTAAATAGAATTTGAATCAAAGTATAACAAATACTTGCTTCCAGTATTAATTTTAAATCTGTTAATTTAAGGGGCATGGGGGTATGCTTTGGTATGTTTCTGTTGATTTCTTTCCTTTTTTTTTTTTTTTTTTTTTTTTTTTTGGTATAATGTCATAAAAAGCAATGAAAGTACCAGTCGCTATGTGGTATCTAGGAAAATCATGATACTGTTGGTTTTTTGTTTTCTCTCCATGAAATAAAATCATCCTGGAATTAACGATACAACTTTTTAAAATTAATTATCACCTTCTGTATTCAGATGTAGCTGAGTTCTTTGGCGATGTGCTCCCACCCATTAAATATCTAAACTACTGGTGAGTTTTGAGTTAATTGCTTGCCATTGTGCCACACAGCACAGACCCCAGAAGTGCCTTCCTCTTACTAATAACTTTGGATCCTGGCTTTCTGGCCAGTTGGACTCTGTAGAAACCTGTTTTCAACCAGCCAGATACACCTTTCTATTACTATTATGCATTAATTTACTGTGTTCACTTTGCTTTTTAAGTTATTTGTATATATGTATATATTTTAAAATCTATTTATTGAGTTCAAAGTACCATGGCATGGAATTGGTTTCTGGCTAGTCAGTTTTATACCTTGCTCCCCAATTTGTGAGTACCGGTTTAGTTTTTTTCCATTTTAACATTTTGGCATACTTTAGGCTTTAGGCCTATGAAGATGATACCATTAAACTCATGAACTGATGGATAAGCAAATTGGCTTTATCTTGATGCTAAAGAACAATAGAACTCGAATGGTGTTTTTTGTTCGTTTTCATATAAAGCCCACCCTTTACCACTCAGTTTATCCTAGCTTTGGGGGAATGTGGTAGACAGAATAGAGGTGTGCTTAAATTTTTCTAGGATATTTTATGTAAGTAATTATCTGTTTCCTTTGGCTTATGTTCTTTACTATGCATTCACCCGTTTTGTTTGTTGCTTTATTTTCAGCTTTTAGTATTTTGTTTCCCCCTTACTTGTGAAGGGAAAAAATTATTTTCATTTTACTTGTTCGTGCTGGGTGACACTGCTGTGCCCTTTACCTTCAGGGTCCCGGGACCAGGCTTAGACCTCACAACGGAAACAACATTAACCAAGGAGACCCAACTCTAGAACATGCCAGCCTTTTCCAGTGAAGCCTCTCTTGTCATAAGAAGGAAAACTTAATTATGCGAAAGGATACCTGTCCATTGTGAGGCTAGTGCCAGAATTTCCTGACCTTTCCCTAGCAGAGCACTGGTGGCCCCCATCCCGCAGTCTGACCCTTCCTTCAGGAAAGGGAGGAGTTCGACGTGCCGCCTGCCTGTTTGTCTTGTGGGAGTGACAGGTAAAAGCAGGAAGGATTATTATGACCTGTTCACCTACTTTTTTTTTCCTGTGGCCCCTTATTTCCTGTTTTTAGCCAGGGAATTATGCCTAAGTGGATAACATCATTAAAAAAAATAACAGAGGGGTTGAAATAATGAAAGTCATTGATAGAAAAGAGGTACAGGTAAGAAATCTAGAACTATTTGCCTGGATGTTGTGGGTTTTTTGTTTGTTTTGTTTTTGTTTTTTTCTGGCAAGTTCGGAGGTGTGGTCCTGACCAACCCAATCTTTCTATCTAAAAAATTCTTAGGTAGCTGTCACAGGTAAGGAAGCCCAGTGGAGGTGCCAGGCACCACCTTTCACAGCAGCCTGCCGCCTCTTGGGAAATCTACCACGCCCGAGTAGACATGCTTCATGGGTGGAGTGGAGGCTGGGAAAAATTCTGCCTTCGTCTGAAAGTCAGCCAGGTCTTGCCATGTAAAAGGGACCGACACCCCTGCCATGGATGCACCAGCAGCAGTATGACAAGGCCATGCAAACACTGAGGAGGGACAGTCCTGGAGTTGCTTGTTCGTAGAAGGTGGTCAGGGTTATTGTAGCTCAGTGAGATTGAGGAGAGTTGAAATCTCACTCCAGCAATTTGTATTGACTCCCCCAAATTTCCAAAGAGTCAATTCAAAAACTACAAACAAAACAAAAACCACCCAAACTTTTTATTACAGATAGTCAAAAACATAACAAAAGTAGAATTATATAATGAACCTCCGTATACCTATCACTCAACTTCAACAGTTATCAACCCAAGACCAACACTAAGCTGTTTTAAAGGAACCAAATTATGTTTTAAAGTACATCCATGAGTGACGCCTGGGTGGCTCCGTCAGTTAAGCGTCTGCCTTCAGCTCAGGTCATGATCTCAGGGTCCTGGGGTCGAGCCCCACATCAGGAGTCTGCATCAGGAGTCTGCTTCTCCCTCCTCCTCGGTTGTTCCCCCTCCTTGTGCTCTCTCACTCTCAAATCTTTAAAAATAAAAAAATACATCCATAAAAGACTGTGCAGTGAAATAATTTAAAAACAAAAGGCACAGATATGCCCTTTAAAGGAGCACTTTGGAGTTCAAGGTTTTGAGAGCGTTGTTCAGTACTGGCATCGTAAAGATTACATCATAAAGATTTGACTCCCAGCCCCACCATGTGGATTTGGATGAGCTACTTAATGTCAGGGGGCCTCAGGTCCTTCATCTCTAAAATGGGGCGGCAAGACCTCTTGCAGTCTTAGAGTGAGGATTAAGTGGGAGACATGAAACATCAGCTCTCCGGAAGTTTGTGGCTGCTAGTATTACAGGTCTTGCTGCTGTTAGCAGGTTATGAGCTGCTCCACAGTCCCTACCATGGAGCCAGAGTATGTGGTCAGGAAGCAGACTGTTCCTCAGAAATGAGGACACCATGCTGGTTCTCTGGCCAAGAACACTTTCTCAACTGTGATGTTGCATAGAGACCCCTGAGTTACATAATTGGAGAGGGAAATCTTAAGTTGTCCTGTCGGCTCACTTAATGGTGAGCTTAGCCGTGGTCTCACAGCAGCCCCCTCATTGTAACTGGACTTACTAGCTAGCTAGCCACGAGATGAAGCTAGTTTCTACAAGAAAGCACTCAACCTTTGCCTGAGAAAAGGGTCTCTCTGCATTTCCACACAAGGTCTTCGAGTTTCTAAGGTCCGGGTCTCTTGTGCTCATTTACTCTCTTACGTCTACTTTATTTTACTTTGATTTTCATTACTTCCTCCTTTTCTGTCTCCTTTCTCTCAAAGGGAGACCGCTGAGGCTTTTATGTATCAGGAGGGGCAGGCGGAATTAAGAAATAGGTCATCCATGGAGAAAACCCGGGATACGATAAATAAATGCAGCCTGATTTGGGGAGTGTAGAGGACACCTCCACCTTGCTGGAGCTTTTTCTTTTGAAAAGCTGACAGCTGGCGGGAAAGGGAAACCGACCAGAAGAACCTGATCGGGTTACTTTTGTTCAGCAGGTTGTGTGGAAGGTTGGAGAAGGATGTTTGTGCCTCACAGTCCGCCAGAAGGACGGTGTCATTTTAAACTGCGAGAGTGGGCAGTCAGTCTGACAGGACAGGGCTCTTGAGTTCTGACCGGATACGAATTTGATTGGGCTGATCTTCCAATGACCTTTTGAAGCATCAACATCTAATTTCTAAAACCAATAATGAGCTGTCTCCTTGGGGGAGCGACATGGTAGTGTGCTCACTGAGCACTCACTGTGTGCCACACACCAAGCTAACCGAACACAGTTTTTCAGAACAATCCCCTGAAGTAAGTCATGGCGTCCTCATTTCACAAAGGGGGGAATTAATATTCAGATAGTTTTAATAACTTTTCTGTGATCAAATAGCACATGACAGAGTTGGAATTAAAATTCACATCTCTTGACTGGAGTCCGTGGTCTCGATTTATTGCTTTATTTTGCTTTGTCCCTCTGAGTGAAAATTACAGTGAACCTATAATTATATTCGGAGTTGTATTTATCATTGCCCTGATGGTTCTGTTTTAATTTGAGATTATTTAAGCCTAGGTTATCGTCAAAGCCTGGCACAGAACCGAATGAAATTTAGCTACCATTTATATAGACTGGGGCCTTCATTTGTGTCTAGTTGTGGTAGCCAAAGCTGTGACTTTACATCTTCTAGCCCTCCCACTAGCCCGTCCCTCCCCCCCACCCCCACCCTCGTCCCCTCCCCCCTCCCCCGCCCACTCCATATTATGTTGTTCCTTGGTAAGTGCCATGAAAATGTTCAGGGGATATTTGTTCTAGCGTCACAAACTGTGTGCAAATCTCAAGAGACAGGAGATAAATTATTTGGTTAGTGGGAGGCCAGAAAAAAAAAATTGGTATGTTTTCTAACAGTGACCGAAGTGAAAGTTTGGTAACCAGCTCTCTGAGAGAGCTTTAACATGTTCCAAAAACTGGCAGTTAGCTCTAGAATGAGCTAATTAGTTAGGAATGGTTTTTATCCTCACTACCTTTAATAGCCTACCCTTGGAGAAAAGACAGATAATGAACACTTGGAAATCAATAGCGCTGCAACTTGACCTTAATGCCATTTGGGGGAAATAAGAGGGGTGTGACTCATTTATTATTTCAGATCCTTCTTTTAAAAAGCGTTGTGAAGATTTGACAAATAACGATTGCTCCCAGTTAGGAACTCTCATCTAATCAAAGAGGCAGAAAACAGGAAGAATGGAAAACTTGTGTGACTCAGCAGTGTTTCATTTTGTTTGAAACAGGCTCTACCACCCTGGTTGTAGAAAGACCTTCCAGTCTCCACCCTGCAGGAGGGCCTGCTAGCCCCGGGGCATAATGAGTGGCAACCCATACCCATGCCATGCAAATAGAATCTGCAAATGCTTCTCTTGAGGTCCTTTTTCCGAGTCAGCTCTCTCATTGCTTGTACGAAGTTGCCCAAGAACCCTGTGGGAAAGCACTGGCTGAGCACGTAAAGGACATGGGTTTCCCAGGGGGCTGGTCGGTTCCTGTCTGGACCCCGAGCTTCCTGTGTTCATTAGGTCCACACACCTGACTGCCCCTTCCAGCCCTTCCTTGGCTGGAGGTGTGAGTGCTTGTTTGTTTAAACCTTCGTCACTACACCTTGGAAAAACAAAACAACACACTTACTTGTCTGGGCATTGAGTGTTCTTCCTGAATTTTTGTCCTGCCCATTGGCCTGGAGGCATAATGGGTGGGGCGGGTTTCGGCGTTGGTTTGGGAAGTTTCGAGAACGAGGCTGTGGGTTGGGTTGTTAGGTTGGGGTTGCTCTTGGTTTTAATCATTTTGGAACGTCTGAGGGTCAGAGAGCATTGCCATAGATGGCTCTGGGAGTTATGTTCTGGCTGTGCCTCTTTCT